TTGGGGGAAATGGTGACTGCCACCACCAGGCTAATTTATCTTCATCTTGTTTCTGAGGGGTCTTTAGGAAGGAAGGCTAGCAGGGACAGTTGTATGCTGCGTTAATGATTCTGTCCTGAAGGATGGTGATAATACTTGAAAAGAGGTTAAAAGTAGAATAAACTTGCTACTGAATTTTAGGGCTGTTTCTATCAGATGAAATACCTGCATTACTTGTGTGTAGTTTTCAGTATGAATCCAGAATTGTACCAAGAATTCCTTTTTAGTTCTATAAACAAAACATAGATCTGAAAAATAAATGACTGAATACATCCTGAATTTTGTGTTTTAGGAGAACACACGAATTGTCAGGGTGAAGGTTATAGCTGGAATTGGTCTGGCCAAGAAGGATATTCTAGGAGCCAGGTAAGGAAAAAATGTGCTTAATGTCTTAATGGACAGCTGATTCTTTATTTTGTTTCCATAGCTATTTAGATCTTAGTAAATGCTACTATGCCTCTTTCCAAAAAAAAAAAGAAGTGTTTTAACTGGCACCTTATAAAAATGATCAGAGGCTATATAAACATGAGGGCGTCTAGTTTCTTGCCCAAAAGTCATGTGGACAGATCTATGCATTGGCAAAACAACATGTGGGAAGGCTCTGCACGCTAAAGTAATTCCATCTTGGAGGATGGATACAGGAACATATTTTACTTCAGTTAGAGTGCAGCTAAAACAACAATATTTCAGTTTTAATCAAAATTGTCTCATCTGCACTTTAAAGACTTGGAATGAATACCATACTAAACAGTGGTAGCAACAAGAGTACTTTAACTCCAATTATGTGCAGAGGAACAGCATCCACCAATTCCACAGATGTGGTAAACCCATGCCAGTGGCTTCAGGCATGTACAAATTTAAAAGTTAACAATCTGTATAAGGAAAGAAACAATTAAAATGATTTAACATTTACCACAGTAAAGATCAGACTTTATAATGGGAATGTATTGCAGGATCCTGTAGAATTGGCAAGTGGTAGCATGCAGCTTGTAGTAAAGTTACTTTTTTTTTGTCCCATGAACGGAGTGTCTAAAAAAGTACTGGTGAGTTTAATACTAGTTCTGCTGTCAGCTTTTTTTTTTTTTTTTTTTACATATGTATAGGAATGCTGTTATTTTACCACTAGCAGTATTATTTTTACATGTGATATCAATTTAGCATTAGAAAAAATTTTCATGCTACTCATATTTTTAAGCTAGATAATCTGGCTTAAAAAATAAATATTTGTTAATTAAATAAATTTAAATATATTAATTCAATCAAATATAATTAAATTTAAATAGTTAAAAATATTTTTTCTCACATGCAAGTTTCTTACTTTAAAAAAAATCAACTTTTCGCATCATAATTTAATATGTGAAAACTGTATCTTCTGTTGCATGGCAGATGGTCCTCATTACCTTTTTTAATAGTTTATTTGAGCAATTGAATGCCTTGTTTCTGTTCATGCAAAGTAGTTACTCATATAATGTTTCTTGTACCACAGGAAGGAAAAATATCTGAGGCAGTAGGCTATTTTAAGCTGTCATATTAGACACTTTCATTAACAGAAAAAATCAAGTTAGTCTGTGAAACAGAACATTTAGTAAAAATACCGAGTCTTTAAGGAAGTACCTCAAATTCCAGATGTTCCAAATTCTTTTTGTCTAAAACAAGAAGTTTAGTAGTTAAGATTTTTCAATCACAACTGATTTTTTTTTTCAGGTATGTCTTGTAGAAATGCATTAACATTATTAAATCTTTTCTCATGCAATTAGAATTGTGCAAGAGGAAAGAGAATCAAATTGTAGTGACATACAGAATGTAAAATGGCATAGCTACAGTGGTACTAGCTACTATTAGTAGCTACTACTAATTAAGCATTATTACTGATTATCTCTAAAACTATTTAGAAAATGTTTATAATTGGCAATGGATATGGTGTTTGTAAATAAATTGTAACTTGTAGTTTCATAGCTTCTGTTAATTTAAGCTTTTTAAAACTCAACTGCTAATAATGCTATAAATAATAATAAAAAATTATATCTAGCAGTTTGCTTATCTTTTTCTCTTTTCCCCAACAGTGACCCATATGTGAAAGTGACAGTGTATGATCCAGTGACTGGAGTCCTTAGCAGTGTTCAGACAAAAACTATTAGAAAGGTTAGCATTCTTGTCTGTGTGGGTGTATTTTTTATTTATTTATTTTTTTATCAGACTCTCAGGGGGAGGTAAGAATACAAGAAATAGAAGGATTAATATGCCTCAAGTGAAAGGAGTGTTCCACAATCTATAGTGTTCCACCCTATTTCTCTGTTTATGGTATTATTTTTAGTATTTTCCATTCAATAATTTTATTTGTGGAAGATAGAGAACCACTAAAGAAGGTGAGGTATGTACTGATCCAAAATTGAATAGTTTATAGACATACTGGGTGGTTTTGATCGTTTTGGGTCTTTAATGTCTCTTTCTGTACAACTTTTCTATTTTGTACATTAAATCATGCAGTTCACCTGAACCGTGATAGTCCTGGTTTCTCTAGAATACCTGCAGACAAAAGTCAGTGTTAGAAGTGATAATTTATATTAGATCTACTAAAAATGGAAAACTGAGAGATAAAATATTCTTCCAAACTGCTGTTTTCAGATAATGGCTGTGATTTTTATGATGACTGACCGATATGTTTTCTCTTCTTGTTGATAATTGTTAGTTTAGCTATGGTGAGAGTGCAAAACATCTAGAATATTTCTGAAAATAACCACAGTTGAGAACGGTGTGTGGCTGAGCAGATTATGTTGTTTGGTTGATCTGTGCCTGGTCTTTCTAGATTACATTGGTGAGAGATCTGGCATTTGGTAACAGTTCATAATTTCAGGGTTAGTTTATGTTTGTGTGAAAGCAATACAGATAGTGAATCTGGACTCGAGGGGAAGCAGTGGCTGTTACTGAAAACGTACCATGAAATAACTGTTTTGAATTGTATGACATGCCTTTTTCTGCATCCTTGGCATCAGGCAGAATCTGAGAATACTTGCGTAAATTGTCTCCGTTCTGCCCTGCAATAAACAGTGTAAGGCTCCTAAGACTTTTATCTGCAATAGCAGTATTAAAGCTTTTGTGCTTTTAGTGCATTGTTATATGAGATAAAGCAGACATAAAACAAGTAAGCAAAACAACAAAAGATAACTGTATATAATTGTTCCCATAACCCATGTTGTCTTTTTTTTTCTTCCTCCTACATATAGTCCTTAAACCCAAAGTGGAATGAAGAACTTTTATTTAGAGTAAGTGTTTTTCCGTTTTTGTTGTTGTTTTTTACGGTCTTATTACCTGTGTTGGTTATTATGTTACAGTTAGAAAAATATTTTCTTGCTTCCACAGCTTAAGATCAGAAATGCAAACATTAGAATTAATATTCAGATGCTAACAGACTGCTTTCCTTAGAAATACGTTTATTTTCAAGACTGAGAATTTAAATATAGCACAAATAAAAATCTTAGCTTCTCCGTTCCATGAAATTTAAAAAAACATTTTTGGGATAGCGCCAATCTTGTCTTATTGGTTCTGGCATAAAAAGCATAGTATTACTTCTATTTTAGGAGCAAGGTGTAGATTAGATGTCTAATTTATGTCTTACTTGTCCAACAAGCACGCAAGCCGTTAGAACATGTACTGTATTGTTGAGAAATTCGTAGACCTAGAGGCCCCAGTTTAGAAAGTGCCTAGTCAAGGGCTCGGACTTCTGTGTTTTTCAGCATGCCTAATAAAGGCAACTTTCTCGCATTCAAAATGATGGTGAATTTCCCTCCTCTGATAAACAAATCAAGTCTTGATTTATGAGGAAATTGTGACTTTATGGAAAGTAATGTGTAGCATCAGCTTCCAGTCACCAAGTTTTATTATGTGCTTTTCTGCAACATTAAAAAAACCTGTACTGTCTGATACCTGTATACGTACAGTTAGTCCTAGAAAGTGGTCCTCTGCTCCTTTTTGGTCCTTTTGGACCTCTAGTTAACACAATACGCTTGCATACATTCTAAGCTGCTATTATTAGAGAATCGGTTTTATAATCTAGATGTCAAAATCATTTAGTTAATATTTTGGTTTTTAATTTGTTTTCTGTGGTTCAGAAACTAAATTATCCTTGCATATTACCTTGTAGGATAGCTCATTTAGGCTTTGTCAGAAAATTTGTCTAGGCATTTCTTGTTGTTAACAAAGATTCATGTAAGCATTCTTTACCAAATATATGGTACCGTCTACTAAGTGTCATAAATTTTCCACGTAACTTGCTTTTTTTGAATAGCAATTCTTGATAGCTGTAACTGCTGATTCACGTACTCAAAATGAAGGAGCAGTTTCTTCATTTGTAGTCAAAATGACTATGCAGGCAGGTTAGTGGACTTAAGAAATAATTCCTCAGAAAATTCAAAACACCTATGGGTCTTTAAGTATTGGCATACTCCTTTTTCCATGGTACTCTGAAATCTTGCCTGATATTTTTCTGTGTTGACACACATAACAGGTGAGATATCTTTTAACTTTGTTGGGATAAATGCTTCCTGTGGAGAACTGGAAGACTGGGGGTGTGTGCTTGTAGCCAAGGATATTTTGAAAATGTTCATCTTCCAGAATACAGATATGAGGGATTTCTTTTCTTTGGTGTGTAAATATGTATGTATATATAATGTTAGCAATGATACGTTCCTGAACTTGCATGCCAAGTTCTATGAGAAACTTTTTTTTTTGAGTTTTTATTAGTTTTACTGTGTTTATGCAAGAGAAAAGAAATTATGGCATTTGCCTGAAAACAAATAGTGGAATTCAGTGTATATTTTAACTATTAACATCTTTATTTTTCCTAGGTTAATCCTCAGAAACACAGACTCCTTTTTGAAGTATTTGATGAAAACCGTTTGGTAGGTCCTTCATTAATATTGCAATTTACTAAATGCTTGAATGAAATTAAGTTCACCTGGATTCTAAGCTCAAGATAAAAGCAAACAAAAAAGCATGCCGACATCTGTAATGAAACTTAAAGGAAACCTGATTTGTTAATGTGTCTGACATTACCATACTTTGATCTGAAGCAATCATACTATTGCTCTTAACTTCTAACGTGTTTCAACTCAAAAGCATCATTTTTTTATAGTTCGTCTCAAATGATATGGCCAAATCCATCCCTAATATTGCATACTATGCAATGAATGTTTATTTTTACTGCAAATTAGTATTGAGAATGTAGGTATCTGTGTACATGTGTGAGAAGTTTCTTCAGTATGTGAGGAGTAGCACAGAAAAAATGGTGTACCCTTTCTTTGAAAATCTCAACAAGCAGACCCTGGATGCCTATCCCAGGTATATGATGTCTCATTTTATTTTATTTTTTTAAAGCAATTTTAAAATGCGTCATCAGAATTTGTAGTTCACATGGCAGGTTAGGTTAAATGTGAATTTTCAGGATGCTCAAATGTGTGTTTCAAAATCATGTTTTGGGCTATGGTCTATTCTTCGTGAGGTAGAAGTACTTTGTAATTAGTCATTGGAGCTTTGCTGCCACCCTGTGGAAGTCAGGATGCATGAATAGAAAATCAGATCCCTAATTTCGGGAAGGCCAATGTTTTCTTTTTCGTTTTGACCAAGAAAATTCCTTACCTACTTGCCTTACTCTGATCTAAAGTAGATGAGCTGTTTTTTGTTTTGTTTTGTTTTCTTACTGGATCAACTTGGAAAAGGTGCTTTGTTTCCTACATGTGACTGCATCTAGAGATCAAAGCAGCATGCCCTAATCAGTCACTGTATAGTTCTACAATAACAGTATTTTTTTTCTTTCCCATCTCATCATTTGGTCAATGGAAAAGGCTGCCTCCCTATTTCTATTTAGCTTCCTCTTTTGTGGTGAAGACTAAATTTCTGTCCCACGTGTCTTGAACTACTTTAAGTCAGTCATATTGTTGCCTTAGCTGTGAGAGTTTGGGATTGATAGACTCCCCCACTTCCATTAATTTATTTTCACATGTCATAAATTATGGGTGCCTTGTGCTTTTTCACTAGGATATGTACCTATGATCAAAAGGTGTTTCATCTTTCATAATTTTAGTTGGCTTGAGTATTAAGCAGCAATTCTTCTGCCTATTTGATGACTGTTTAAAATCCAGATGTGAGCAAGCTGATGGAATTCTTTTAGAGCTGTGAGACTGTCCTAATGGGTGATTTCCTCTGTAGAATTTTGTCCTGTGTGCTTTTATTCCTGGTGACTTTCAGGTAGAAATTGAACCTTGAAATCTTAGTTATGCTTTTAAGAAATGTTGCTTTCTTGAAAACTGGGCTCAAAACTCTTCAAAGTCCTGCTTCAATTCCAAGTCCTGCAACATTAATTAAGACTCCAATTGTTGGTGATTTCACATCTTTCTGTAGTAGCTTTAAGACTTGTCAAAAATCACCTGGTTTGGATCTGTTTTATTAAGGGAACACGGAAACTGATTCGTTTTGCTGACTAGATGCAAGCCATTAGTAGAATAAATGGCTTGACCAGTTTGTGGAATGCTCTGTTAGAGCTGTCTTTAAAAGCACATTAGAAAAATCAGTCAGGAAGGAGAATGAGATCGTTTATGAGATGGGCCAGTGCAGGACCTAGCTGACATCTTGAAGTCTTTTCCTGTCTTACAATAACTTGTCCCAGCTCTGCATATTTCAAATGAAGTACCAGAGCCTATGTTATTTTGTAATGAAGAGTTAAATAATATTAAGATTTGCATGGGGCTATAGGTCTTTCCTTTTTTATTAATATTTATTTATTTATTGTTATGTCAACTCTAATTCAGTAGGACAGAATGTAGAAATTAGAAGTCATTTCTGGAGTGATTAAGGAAGCTGTGGCTGGCTGGCTATACCTGCAAAATCATAGCTAAAGAAAAATGACATGGTGAGAAATGTGGTTGAAATCTTATCTCTGAGTTGCCAAAATACGTCAGTTTATCATTTACTTACGGATTTCTTGGGAAAATTGTGGGGAAAAAAAATCAGATTATCTGTTGGGGGCAAAAGTGTTGCTTTTTTTTTTTTTTACTGAAAGTATTGTATCTAATAAAATTGTTACAATTTGTTGTGCATCACACTAGCATGCTACAAACTGCTGCTAATAAATATGTTGTCAGGACAGAAAGGGGCTTTAAGAACTGCATTGTTTCTTCTTCGTTCACACATCTTAGCATGTGTACACTTTTTTTTTTCCTAATATATTGGTTGTAGTTCAAATGTGACTTTTAAAATCTGTGACCAAGAAAGGTTTTATGGTGTTTGACTTTCCTTCCTGCCCCAACCCCTCTCCAGCACATAACGTTAGAAGAAGTCCAGTTGGTGAAGCATAATGAAATAGATGAAGTATTGTATTTGTTGGCTTTTATGAATAAGCTAGTATTCGTTTACTGCTGCATTCTAATCATGGAATTCAGGTAATGGAGGTTAAGTAAGCCCTGGAGTATAATTAGAAAACAAATTTGTTGCTTGCAAACAGAGTACTGTGAATTCAATTCTTGGCTCTTATTTGGGAAGGAGGTTTAAATGTTAATTTTATTGCCTTCTAGCTTAAAATACAGCAAAGGTTAAATAAATATGGAACAGAAAAAAAATCTAGTAGTATGACCTATAAAAGTATAAATGGCCTAGTGTTCTCTTCTGTTTGCACTTTTTCAGCGGCACTAAGTAATTTCATGTTAGTGTGGTAGTGTTTAGTACTGCATCATATATGGCTTCTGTGTTCAAAAGCACGTTCATAACCAAATATGTTTAAAACACAAAAAAATACGCTTAACAGTAAGATTGTCTTTTTTCAAAAGTCCCACTAGATGCCAGCAAAGGACCTCTTCAGATAATATAAGACAGTGAAACATCTGTAGGAATTCTCAGTACCATTATTCTTACAGGAATTGACAATATATTCATTTCTTTGTGCTGTTCATTTTGATAATTTTATTGGAAAATAAATTAGTAGTTAGCTATGAGTATATGAAGTGGTTTGTTTATAATATACAGAATAGGTTTCTTTTGTAATTGTGCTCTGTAACCATATTTATCCTAGTACGTAATTCTCTTGGTGTTTCGTAGTTTATGTAGCTGGCCATATATTTGCATGTCATTATCAAACAGTAATGAATGTTCACTTAATCTGGACTTCAAGCAAACAAGATGGTAGCTTGCAAGAATATTTTTATTTCTTTCTACCTTTAACAGCTGTAATTTGGAAAGGTTAAAATATTATTTAACATGGTAGGCTGAAAGTCAGTGCTGAATTATTAATCAGGATAACTTGTTTCTAATTCAGTTGCATCTCACTAAAAATATTAACTAATTGGCAGGAGAGCTTTTTAACGTGTGCAAATCTTTACAAACTGTGATTGGTTAACAACGTGTAGATTGTTAGATAATGTCAGATTTCTTTCAAGTTTTATTTAAATAGAGTAGAAAAACTTTTATTTTTTTGAGGGGAGAAGGGTTATTTCCCTGGTTTATGCATAAGTCAGACCTCAGCAGTTTGCTAGCATGGTTACTATTTGGAAATTCAATCCTAGACTTGATACTCAATTATATGGGATTTCATTCCTACCAACTTCCTGTAATTCTAAACCTATGGGTAAAAATATTAGTAGTCATACGCTGCTGAGGAAAGTACGGACACATTGACTCAGCTAGTGCAGCTGCAGCAGGCGTTGCTGTTTTAAACTTGAAAATACTGGGAGTTTATTATATTCATTTTTGCAAATTACAGAAGGTATAATTGAAACAAGGTTGGTAGTGTTTGTCAGTGTGTTGCAGCTGAGGTCGTTGGAACATAAGTGCTTTATAAATGAGTGCTTTCTGACTGCAAGCAATCAAAGACGGTCCAGAAACTGCAGTTCAACGAATGGCTGACTTATTTCAAGAGGTACAGTCTTTTTTTTTAACGCTAGTATCTTGTAGAAATTAGGACAAAGCTTGCTACTTCTATGAGCTTTTACTGTTGCGATGTACTAGCTCTAGGTTCTGTGCAGCTGCCTGTAGCCTTCCCGCTGAAGGATTTTTCTGGTTTTCATTCACTAACATGCGTGGAAATGAGAACAAATGGCACGACGGTTAAGACTGCATTTTGCAACTCAAAGAAGTAACACAGATCCGCTATCAGAAACCTCCGAAGATGTTTTGGATAGTAACCATCGAATGTACTTCAAAAGGATACAGAACTCTGAACCTAATGTTGCACAAATGAACCTGACTCCTAGACAAGTTGCTTGTGCACCTGTAATGCAGCAAATAATTAATCAAGAGAGAAAGGCAAATATTTCTTCACTGCAAAAAAAAAAGAGCACCTCACTGCATATTTCTCTACAGTCTAGAAAGCATAATGGATATTTTCGGTCTGGTGATGGCGAAGACACTTCATTCATCAGTATTGGGAATGAAGGAAGTTGTGGCACTAGAATTGTGGTTGATCATCCAGCTAATGACAGCCATCTGAGCAATAGCGCTGCATGCAGTGGCAGTCTTAGCAGTATTGCAGCCAGTGACAATGGGTCCTTGAGCAGTGCTGGCAGTGACTATGGATCATGTACAAGTACCACGAGTGATGGAGGTTCATACAGTAACAGTGTCATCAGTGACAGTGGTAGTGGCACTCCTTCGACGAGCGATGGCACTTACTGTAGCGGTGTTGATCATGGTGACTTTTCATATGGAAACATTTCTAACAAGTGTAATCCCTATAGAAACAACTCACCTCAGGAAGAAGTACAGGTGTGTAGAAGTAATACTACTTTTGACCAAGATGTTTTGTCAGTGAGGAAGAAAACTAAAATTCCACTGCGGCGGTGTTCATCATTGGTAATTTTCCCTAGGAGTCCTTCCAGTACTCCCCCAGCTTCTCCCATAACCTCAGGTCAGCTGCCACACAGAGGTGCCTATCAGACATCACATAAACTAATTATTTCTCCTAGTGAGCCGTCGCATAAAGAAGATCAAACCATTTCCAAGGGTTTCCTTTCAACAGCAGTCAATGGACTTCGACTGTCTAAAACAGTTTGCTCTTCTGGTGAAGTTAGAGATGTTCGACCGCTTTCCTTGAATACATCTTTACAGGACAAAAGTAAAATTCTGAACAGTTCTGAACAGGCAACTTGTGAAGAAGTAGCTGGTGGCTTCTCCTGTATTTCAGTTCATCTGACTCAAAGAGCATTTGCATCAAGCAGTGAAATGGTTAATGGCTGTTGCAGTGCAGAGTTAAATCTGAACTCCAGTGCAAAATACCCTCCTTTAAAACTGGCACGTAGCACATCTGCATGTTTACCCTCAAAAATAGATTCAGAATACCAGATGAATATAAATCAACTGGAAAGACCAAATGCACAGACGAGCAAAACCCACCATGTTTTGCAAAGAAGTGTTTCATTGGAAGGATCACGTCAAAAAGTTTCTTGCTGTTTATCCAGTCTTAAATACAAGTGTCATAGTGCAAGGACGTCTCAGTTGCATATACAGTTCAAGCCTGGGAATGAAGGAAAAACAAGTGGTGTTAATAAAAGATATGGAACCTCTAAAAGGGAAATATCTAGCACTTCTTTGTGGAGGCCCCATAAGGTGAGTGTTCTGGTTTATAGAAAAATCTGACAGTACTTTACAGCTGAAATTTAACTGGGAAATAATAAAATCCATAATCAAGGTTTAGCACAGCTATTTCAGAATTTCCTAATGGTGTCAAACTGTCATCAATAGGGAGTTATTTTTTATATGATCCGTATCTTGTTTTTTAGATTTGTGTCTTAGATTATGGTACTCTTTTGGTGAATAGGTCTTAGAGTGGAATACCTGTATATAACATGTATTATAAACTATAATTTCCTGCTTACATAACTTGAAGGGATTTTCTTGTCTAATTATTCAGACATTGGAGGTATCTAAACTTCAGTTTTGTAAAGTTTTAAATACATAACTTCACTGCCTAATAGTAGTAATTATTAAAATTGCATATAAAATGGGTAAAAATGAGTAGATTAGAGACTTTCAGGTTTATTTCTTATAGGCTTTATTTTACAGTGCAGTTCACTCTATATAGAATTAAAGATAAGTAATATTTGAGCAGAGAAACTGTAAATACCATTTGTTTCTGTATACACCCTGAACCACAGGAATTTTCAGAGTTTCCTTTCCTTTTTTTTTTTTTTTTCTTCCAACCACTACTTCAGTCTGAGCAGTACACTGTAACTTAATACCTCTCCCAACAACATTGCTGTCCAAATTATAGTACTTCGCTCTAGATAAATATATTTTTTTGGTAATGAAACTCATGTCCAACTAAACTTCAGAAGTGTGTTTGCTCTTATTAACTCTTGAAGCAGTTTATATTAGTGAAATATAAGCCATGTGAAATGAGGATTTTAAAATTTGTTTAAATAACATTGTGAAGATATGAACAACCTGAATATTATTTATTGGTTTTAATTATGAATGCTGATAAAAGAGCAACAACTAACATTTACGAAAGTTATTTCAAGTTTTTAAGACCTCATTCTCCATGAGTTACAATTACTGTAGTTTAATTAATTTACTTGTAGAAGCAACAAGCTTCATGCCAAAGTTCTATATTAGTGACATCTCCTTTCTGAACTAGAAATTGTATTACCTTGAAGATAATACCCTGCAATTTTCATTCTGTCACTGCCTTTAGTTAGAGTAGTACCTGATGATTCTATTCTTTTTGGCTTCTTTCAAGTTGTGTATTGCTTTATGGAAAAAAGAAAACAAAACAAACAAAAAAACAAACACACGTTCTTTTTATAGAACTGTGTTTTCAGTTTAAGCTTAATTTTAAAGCTCATGGTGGATCACAAGTAACCACTATGTATATTATTTGGCAGTTCCTCATCCCCAAATCCAACTGTTAATGGCAAATTCCACAATAAGCACAGATGATGACATTTTAAGTAGTCTGGATCTAGTTATTCTTTAAAAAAAAAAAAAAGAAGAAGAATGAAGAAGAAGAATGGAAAACGTTGAGTCATGCACTTCGAGTACATTTCACTGCTAGCTTCTGTGTTTAATGTCAGTAGTTGATATGTAAAATACAAAATGCTTAAATACTGAATGAATTTAATTATGTTCTGTCCAGTTAGAATCCAAGTTCAGGATTAGTTTGTTAGTAAACATTTCCAGAGAACCTCATAGCTCAGTGGACTGACGGGTTTGTGTCAGTTCCCAGGAATGGTGTTCACAGTGCATTATCATGAAATCTAGGCTAAATTTAAATTTTTAAGCACTTTAGAGCATGCCCCTGTTATAGGAGAGCATCTTTGCTGTGCTAATGTGGCAACATATTTTAACCTTAACCAATTTCTTAATTTTTTTTTATCTTCCACGTAGAAAATGAGAGAGGCGAGTTTTTTCTATTTGTTTGTTTAAAATAAAGATTGTCTCAATCCCAAATTGCTGTGGTTACGTTGTACCTTTCATGCATTTGCAGATACTTGGTTTGTGCCAAACATTTGATTTGTCCCGTGACCACATACAAATTAAAAAGGTTTCTGATAGCAGAAAACTGGACACTAAAGGTTTTATAGTAGTATGTTTGTTTTGGATTCCTCTGAAAGGCACAGAAGCATATTGCTCTTGAAGTGGCCCTATCAATCTTAATGTAAAATCAGTTTTTGTACAATATCCTATGTAATAAAAATTTAAAGGCTCTCCCACCAAACCAAGCAAAAGCCATAGTGACTTTATGGCAGTTCAGTAATTCGCCAGAATAAACTAGATAAATATTTTTGTGTTTGCTGTTACAGCCTTTGAAAAATATAATAGGTTCTATGGCAATCATTTAATTATGTAGTCCAATTAATTATCATGGTGTGTTGTGACTCATTTAAAAATAAACAACTCCCAAAATATTTCTCTTGACTCCAGTTAGTCTGGCCTAGTATATTGATATGCTGAGTCTGAGTTCAAATTTAACAAGTTGATACTGGAGTAGCATTTAGTAATGTCAGCTATCCGTACAGAGCAGGCATGAAATCAAATCAGTGCTTTGGTCACAGACTGCAGAGTCTGAAGCAGTGAAAGGTCTAAGCATTCTTTTCTTATGTGCCTAGCTACTAGCCTTCAGCCACCCGGTATCAGGTTTCCTGCTTTCTATAATCAACAGCTTGTTAAAGGCTCACTTTAAAAAAGGAAAAAAAAAAAAAAAAAGAGAGAGAGAAAAAAAATCAAAACATAATTTCTGTGACAACTGGCCTTGGATTATTTTTAATTAAGTTAAAAAAATATGGGGAATGGTGATGGCCTTGCATGGCACTGCTGATCTTTACTTGAAATATGTTGAATAGGTTCTGCAGTAGGGAGTGGAATTTCGCTTATGCAAAGCAGGAGGAAGAGGTATACAAGTGCACGATTGCATCATTGACAGTTGCCCTTGACTTTGTATATATGTTTTCAATGTGTTTTTTTCAGTGCTTATGTCTCTTGGGGTGGATGTAAATCTATAGCTAAAGCACTTTGATGTCACTGGTGTGAACTGGGAGGGTCGGGCTGAGTAAGGGAACAGGTTACATGCTGCATATGCAGACATGAGGAGGTACAGAAGGGCAGTGGCTACAGTTTCACTTCTTGTTGGCCATGAACAAACTTTCTGAAACAAGAAAAAAAAAAAAAAGCTATACTAATGTCTTCCACAAATACGCTATTATGGTGACATCCGTGTTGGTATCAGCACTTCCTTCCAAATCAGTATCACTGCTGGTTAGAAGATGTGTGTATCATAAATGTACTTGCAAATGTGTTAGTACATTTGTACTAACATACAGACATAAAGACATACAAACTGTATGTCTTTAACATAATTTCTTACACAATTAACAGAATTGTTATCTTTTTACTTACGAGTAGTCTTGCTGAAGTTTTGTCTTCGTTGAATGAAACTCACACTGAAGAAAAAAAAATTAGAGGTGATTTAAAAAACAAAAAGGTTTTATATTGTCAGATTTGTGTGAAAAAATTAAGTTGTAATTCTTCAGCTATTTTCATCAGGTTCTGGAACTTCACATTTCGCTTTGTAACAGGAGATGCTGTTTGAATAGCATCAGCCAATTCTATATCCGCCAAATAGTCATCCATCAAATCCCTTTCTCACCAATTTAGAGACAAGGGACTGTGTCAAACAAAGGCCTTGCAAAAGTACAGGTAGCTGATATCAGTTGCTCCAGCACAGAGGGCCATTAGATAGCTCAGGCACAACACACCCTTGGTGAAAGCCCTGCTGGCTGCCTCGAATCACCTCCCTGTCTTCCATATGCTGTACCATAGCTTCCAGGAGGCTCTGTTTCATGATCTGCCTAGGCACAGAGGTGAGGCTGACAGGTTGGTAGTTCCCATGGTTTTACCTAGTACCTTTTTAAAAGTGGCTGTGAGTTTCCCTTTTTCTAGTCATGGGGAACTTCATCTGGCTGCCAGGACTTTACAAATACAATGGAGAGTGGCTTGGCAACTACATCAGCCAGTTCCCTGACTTGGAGTTGTCTTTTCTGCACAAATTGATCTCTCTTTATACTGTTATGTGCTGATTACCTCCTCACCTAATCACATTCATCTTGTTCAGAATTGCACATCTTGAAGGATCGTGCTGCAGGGCTGCCTGTTGCCCATTCTGTGTTGTGGGATATCAGCTCAGTCGAGGAGAATTACAAGTTGCATTTGGCAGTGATGAACCATGTGTAACGTTCAGGATATTGTCATCCTGAAAAGAACACTGTCTTGGCTCTAGCAGAATACTTTAATAACTCTGTACATTAAAGCTCCAGAGCTTTTTAGTCAGCAGTGAAAATTACATGTACATATTAAAAAGGATTTTTTTTTGTTTGTGCTCTGCACAAATTATAATTAACCTCATTCTGTTTATAGTCTGCAATTGAACTGAGTTGGGGTAGGTTTCTCATATGCCAACCAAAGGGAAGACTAAAACCACAAAACCATGTGGAGCAGAGCTCCTGAAACAGCTATATAAATTTTTAATTACCCAGTCTTCAGGTTGATTCATGTCCTTTTGATCTACCACAAGAGTGGGGAAAAATTCATAGTGTGGCTTCTTTAATATAGCCATAAGCTATAGTTACTGTCTCTAAGGCTTACTGAAAATAAAGAGTGTGTTATAAAGTAAAACTTTGCTCCCAAGGGAAGACAGAGACATTTTTCCCTTCGATCCTGACTAGCCAAATAACTGAGGCTTTCAGATACGAGACTGTGATCTTGTTTTGATGTCAATGTTTAGTGGTACATCACTTTCACTTTTTGTGAGAAATTGAAACCACAACACATGTTTTTAACCCAATATTTATTGGAAAATGTGATGTAGAAATCAGTCTCTGTAAGCATGATGGCATCAGACAACAAAGTGAACTGTACCTGCAGGTATTCGTCCAAGAATTGTCAAGAAGGTGAACTAGAAAATTATTAAAATACTAACGATGATATTTTTTGATCTATTAGGTTGTCTTACGGAAGGAGGGTGGCCAATGTTTTTAAGTGACTGAAAGGGAACTGAAGGGAATTACAAGCACATTACAATGTGCCAGTCTGGAAGGAAGAATATAGAGAAT